CAAAAAAAAAAAAAAAAAAAAAAAAAAAATGCTACATAGAACTTGAGGATAAGTGGTCAAAATAAAAATAAAAACAGTGCTGTAATCAATAACTACTGCTGAAGATTAGAGAGGCATAAATTTCAAAATTTAGTCCCAAGCTCTTGACTCATCTTTTTATACCTTCTTCTTGAAGATTTCCAGCTATCAACTTAGTTCTTTTTTTGTTCAGGTCTTTTGTCCTGTTCTTTTCTCAAATCTAGTGCTGCAGTTGCATCTTGACCCTTCTCTGTGAATGACCTCTTGTGACTTCACACTCAAAATTATTGAAATCAACTTGTCATTTCTTCCATTTGAAACCTAAATTTATTCTCCATCATAATTCCTTTGTTTCAGTTCCTATTTTCCCATCTGTAGTTTACATCCTAATTTTTGGGGGGGTGGGGTTGGACAGGGTCTTGCTCTCTATAACCCAGGTTGGCATGCAGTGGCACAGTCAGGGCTCACTGCAGCCTCAACTTCCTGGGCTCAGTGATTCATCCACCTCAGCCTCCCTAGAAGCTGCGGCTACAGGTATGTGCCACGACGCTAAGCTACTTTTTCTAGGGATGGGGGGGTCTCACTGTGTTGCTGAGGCTGGTCTCAAACTCCTAGGCTCAAGTGATCCTTCTGCCTCAGCCTCCCAAAAATGTTCCAAAGTGCTTGGGTTGTAGGTGTGAGCCACTGCACCCAACTCATCCTACATTTTTAGAATTACATTTGACTCTTCACTCCTCTCAACACTCCCCTCCACACCCACCCCCCCCTCCCCAACCCCCTGCAAAACAAAGCCTTACTTTGTCACCAAGGCTGGAGTACAGTGGCACAGGGCACAGTCAAGGCTCACTGCAGCCCGACTCCTGGACTGAAGCAATTCTTCTGTCTCAACCTCCCAAGTAGCTGGGACTACAGGCACACACCACTATGCCCAGCTAATTTTTATATTTTTTGTAGAGATGGGGTTTTGCTATGTTGTGCAGACTAGTCTCAACCTCCTGGCTTCAAGTGATCCTCCCACCTCAGCTTCCCAAAGGGCTGGGATCACAAGCATGAGTCTCCACACCTGGCCACGTCTTTCTATTTTATAGCCCTCTATTCAGTCCACTGACCAAATCCAAGCAGTTTTTCCATTTTGATATGTTTTGCATCTGTGGCTTCCTTTCCACAGTCTTTACCGTCTGACTTCCTGTCACTTCATCATACCTGAATGGCTAAGGGAGCTTCTTGGTTTATCTGACTTCATGTTCTTCTGTCAATCCATCCTTCCAAATGAATCCTCTTAAAATAATACTTTATAATCTTACTCCTTAGGTTAACATCTCCATTGCCTTAAGTAGTAGTCTTCAAGAGCAGCATCTGGATTGGTTAAGTGTTTCCCAAGTAACTCTGTAGTAGTTAACAACATTCTTATGCTGTTTAGTTTTTTACCTCTGTCCTTTGGCTTATGTCACCCTCCCTACCTGATACCTGCCCTTCCAGTCTTCTGTGTACTTATCCAATCTAAACCCTCCTTCCAGGCTTAGCTAGTTTTCCTCCATAGAATTTACAGGCAACTCCTGCCTGCTGTGATTCCTTCTTCGTCTGCATTCATGACATTTTTATTCCTCAAATGGCAGCTAATCCTGCACTGATGAAGTAACATTTCTTACATAGATTATCTATTAAACTTGTTTTGTTTTTAGGCCTTTTCCTGTTAGGAGATAATTTCCTTGAAAGCAGAGTCCATTTTATGCTTCTGTATTCCCTTTACAGCGTCTACACAGAAACTAACACATTAAAGGGTTTCATAAATCTTTGGACTTTTTGGTTTGGTTTGGTTTTTTGTTTTTGAGATGGTGTTTCGGTCTTTGTTGCCCAGGCTGGAGTGCAGTGATGCGATCTCAGCTCACTGCAAGCTCCGCCTCCCGGGTTTAAGCAGTTCTCATGCCTCGGCCTCCCAAACAGCTAATGCACCACCATGCCCAGCTAATTTTGCATTTTTAGTAGAGACTAGGTTTCATCTTGTTGGTCAAGCTGGTCTTGAACTCCTGACCTTAGGTGATCTGCCTGCCTCTGCCTCCCAAAGTGCTGGGATTGCAGGCATAAGCCACCGCACCCAGCCATCTGTGTGTGTGTGTGTGTGTGTGTGTGTGTGTGTGTGTGTGTGGTGGTTTGTTTTGTTTGTTTGTTTGTTTTGAAACAGGGTCTTGCTCTTATGATTTCGGCTCACTGCAGCCTCTGCCTCCTGAGTTCAAGGGATTCTGCCTCAGCCTCCCGAGTAGCTGGGATTACAAACACCCACCACTGCACCCAGCTAATTTTTGTATTTCTAGTACAGATGGGGTTTCACGATGTTAGGCTGGTCTCGAACTCCTGACTTCAGTTGATCCACCCGCCTCAGCCTCCCAAAGTGCTGGGATTACAGGCGTGAGCCACCTCGCCCCGCCCATCTTTATGTCTTCTATGTGACCGGTTCAAATAATGAGTGTTAATACATCACCTGAGGAGGGAGGTTCAGGATGATTTACTAAGACTGAGAAAGACATAGAAACTTAGAGCAGATTATACATTATTTAATATACAAATACATTACATAGATTATATCTTGCAAATGAGATTGAGTTATTTTTCTAAGAGTTTATTGATCACAGGAAGTGAGATGGCTCTTTTTTAAGAAAGGCTTTTAGGCTGGCATAATGTTAAAAGAAAAAGAAAGAATTTTGATAAATAATGAATGGGGCACTTGTTAAAGTGTCCCATTGTGTCCTCTAAAAACTACTACCAGCTACATTTTGGCATTTTGAAGCATTTTGGTGTGATTTGTTAACACTTAGCGAGGGTCTTACAAAACACGAATAGGCCGGACATGGTGAAAATCATGAGGTCAAGAGATTAAGACCATCCTGGCCAATATGGTTGAAACCCTGTCTCTACTAAAATGCAAAAATTAGCTGGGTGTGATGGTGCATGCCTGTGGTCCCAGCTACTCGGAAGGCTGAGGCAGGAGAAATGCTTGAACCTGAGAGATGGAAATTGCAGTGAGCTGAGATTGTGCCACTGTACTCCAGCCTGGCGCCTGGCGACAGAGCAAGACTCTGTCTCAAAAAAAAAAAAAAAGGAATAAATTGAACACTCTGATCCTCAGCATCAAGGGATATGTCCAAGACAAGACGTTCATAAATGAAACCACCGGAGAACAGTTACACGTTACATAAATAAATGTGAAGAGGGCAGAAGACTATATAAACAATTTAATTCAGTAAAAGTGAAAGCTCATTTGATTTGAAATTATGAGAAAAGTCTTCAGCTAACCCTTAAAGGAATTAATTTAGATTGGTAGAATGAAATGATATAAGCAAGGAAGAAAAACTATAGTACACATATATTATATGTTACCATTTAGAAATAACCTTCACATGTACTGTCTCACTTGAAAAGACTTTTTTTTTTTTAGCCCAGAAATGAGACTAGCTATGAGAGTGGGTGGGTTGGTGTTGTGTGATTTAAGAGCATTGGGAAGATGACTTTTACCTTTCTGAGCACAAATGATAGAGAATGTGCCCCCCACACCATCAGTAGTGTTTAGGGTTTGCCTTTTAACACTCGACTGTTTTTCTTTGGTTCCTTAACAACTCTGGAGTACAAGTAAATCAAATTAAGGGATTAGAACACTGTTCTTTTCTCATTTATTTCCTTTCCTTCTCCATGGTCCTGTCGTAGAATCAATACCTTTTAGTTGTGGGGAACTTGAATAGGACCTTCCTCTTACATTTTTA